AAAAGGACCCAAAGCTCCGAGATGAGCACACCAGGCTGAGCCGGAGTCTGGATGAGGAGGTGAGCAACAGGCGCCGCCTGGAACGCGACGTGCAGCAGGTTCGTGCGCTGGTGAAGGAGCAAGAGAAGTTACTCAACTTTCAGGAGGATCGAAGCAAGAGGCTTGCACTGGAGAAGGAGATGAGACAAATTACACTGAGAATAAAGGAGCTGGAGGAGAGCCCGGCCCCGGTGCAAGAGAAGATCATTATGGAAGAAGTGGTGAAGCTGGAGAAGGATCCAGTCCTGGAACAGTCTGCCAGCAACCTGCGCTTGGAGCTGGACCGGGAGAAGATGGAGGTGCTGAGCTTGCAGAGAGAATGCAAGAACCTGCAGGTGCAAGTCGATGTCCTGCAGAAAACAAAATCCCAGGAGAAGACCATCTACAAGGAGGTGATTCGAGTGGAAAAGGACAGAGCGCTGGAGAGCGAACGTGCACGAATCTGGGAGCTGCTGAGCAGGGAGAGAGGAGCCAAGCAAAAGGCAGAAGAGGAGGTACGGCGGCTCAGGGATAAGATCGAGAGAGCTGAAGGCATGAAGAGGACATGGGCTCGTGAAGAGACGGAGCTGCAGAAAGCCAGGAACCTGGCCATCCAGGAGAGAGCCAACTTGGAGAGTGAACTGCGGGACCTGGAGAGGCAGAAGCAGCAGAAAGTCCTTTTCCTTCGGGAGGAGTCCAAACTGCTCAACCAGCGGACTGAGAATGACAGGCAGAAGAAGAAGCAGCGGGAACATGAGTTTTCCCTGCTGGAGGCAGACATCCTTAGGGAGAAGGACCAGATCTACAACAAGGAGAGGTTCATTCGGGATCTCCAGTCAAAGGTCAACCGGGAAGAAATCAATCACGAGACCCAGATGAGAGAGACAAACCTCTCCACCAAGATCTCTATCTTGGACCCTGAGACAGGGAAGGACATGTCCCCTTACGAGGCCTATAAGCGAGGTATCATAGACAGAGGCCAGTACATCCAGCTGCAAGAGCTGGAGTGTGACTGGGAGGAAGTCACTACCCTGGGCCCAAATGGGGAAATCTCACTTCTCCTTGACAAGAAAAGTGGGAAGCAGTATTCCATCGATGATGCACTAAGGCTGAGGAGGATCACAAAGGAGGAGTACCAGCTGTACCGGGATGGCAAGATTCCCATCTCTGAATTCGCCCTGCTGGTGGCTGGGGAAACCAAGCCTCCCTCGTCCCTCTCGATTGGCTCCATCATCTCCAAATCCCCACTCACATCACCCACCACCCACCAAACCCAAACCTTCTTTCCCCCAGCCTCACAGAAGGGCGTAGGTGATGACACATCCCCCATCGCCGGGGTGTATGACACCACCACCGACACCAAGTACAGTGTCAAAACTGCTCTTGCGAAGAAGCTGCTCGATCCCATGACAGCTCAGAAGCTGCTGGAAGCCCAGGCTGCCACGGGGGGCATCATAGACCTCATTTCTCGGGACCGGTTCTCAGTCCATAAGGCGATTGAGAGGGGACTGATTGACAGGACCTACATGCAGAGACTGCTCAATGCCCAGAAAGCTTTCACGGGGATTGAGGACCCGGTGACCAAGCGAAGGCTGTCTGTGGGGGAAGCAGTTCAGAAGGGTTGGATGACCAAGGACAGTGCTTTCCCCTACCTGCAAGTCCAGCATCTAACTGGAGGGCTCATTGATCCCAAGAAAACCGGTCGCATCCCTGTGCTGGAAGCTGTCCAGACCGGGATGATAACAAGCAACTTGGCCAACAGGCTCCAGGATGAGTCCAACTATGAGAAAGATCTCATTGACCCTGTCACTAAGGAGAAGATAAATTACAAGGAGGCCATGGCCCTCTGCCAGAAGGATTCGCTGAGCCACCTCCTGCTGCTCCCGGCCGCATCTGAGGGGTATCAGCGGTACCACCAGGCGAGCCACTCCCCCAGGCTCTCACGGTTCAGGCACTGAATGTACTGGGGCTGGTTCCTTCAGGAGTTCATCCCTTCAAAACAGCTCTCCCCACGGAGGCAGCAGCGATCACAGGAATGGACCATCGAGCATTTAGGGCTGTACTCTCTTCTCTCTTAGCTACCTGCTTCCCCACACAGCTCGGCCGTGCACGGCAGAAGGCATGACCATGAACCTGACACGGAGGGTCCCCGCAGTCCCCCGGGGGCTGCTGTGATGCCAAAGAGGGGTTGATTGTGAGAACTCCACTGTAGGTTAAACATGGTTATGCTCAGAAAGGGGGGAGAGCCAGAGTGTTTTCTAGCTGGGTCATTCTGCATGCAATAAACATAGCAAGTGTGTCTCTGTGGCTGTGTTGTCTCTGCAGGCTGCGGCTGCCAAGTGGCTGAAGGCACAGATACTCTTCCCTCCATGCAATCCCAGGCCCTGCAGCCCAATCTACAGGGGGTTTGTAGGCTCTTGCTCCCCGTGATCTCACAGCACTGAACCCCCTAAATGTCTTTCTGCATGTGAGTCCATATTTTTAAAGATTTTGTTGTATTTGTCTTTAAAACTAAAAACCACTGGGACTTTGCTCCCTGGTCATTTGGACACCTCTGAAAGAGGGTGCAGTTCCACCAGCAGTACTGGGAAATCTGTACTTGCTATTTCTTTAGGTGAACTAAAAGGATGTTACTCCTCTGTGTAACCTCCACCGCTCAGTCCTTGCTGAAACAAGCAAATCTCATATCCCAAATGTTCTCCCTTATTATCTACCCCATTGTGGAGCACCTCCTGGCTTTGTTGGATGAGAAAAATTACTTTCTACTGATGTCAGCTGCTCTTCTCCCTCTCCCAAGGGCTCTTTTACATGATGCTGTTCAGTAACTCCAACAAAACCAAATAATCCATAAGGACAGAGGTTTCTGCCCCCTCCTTTCCTCACCAGAGCAGCAGCATAGCCTCTATTTCCATATAGTCTTACTGGAATTTGAAGCATCCGTTCCCAGCCTCCTTCCTCTCAGTAGAGCACTACTGGCACTGCTGCTCTGGACCAGCAGCAAGGGCTGGAGCTGGGCTGTGATGGATCAGGAGAGAAACTCTGGCCTGCCAGGGCAAGTCCAGCAGCCCTCAGAGCACAGGAGCATGGCCAGGTAAGGATCATGTTCCAGCACAACCCAGGAGCCCTGGACCAGTGCAGTTCCCAGCAGCCCCTGGGTCCCAGCTCTTCAAAGCTGCTGGGAACAGCCTTGCAGTGCCTTGGCTTTGCTCCCCTCAGCTGCCTGAAAGCAGGGAAGATCCATTGGCAACGGGGCTGTTGCCTTTCCTGCAGCTCAGCTCTGCCCAACAGGTGAGTTTGCTGCCAGGCTTCCCCTCACTTGGCTCTGTGGGGTGATGAAATGATTTGGGGGAGTGCTCTGTAACTACAGGGACTTTGGAGTTCTGGTAATTAGGAGGTCAGTTAATCATTTTGGACAAACTGTTCCCTAGCTGTGTGGTAGGAAGTGTTTACCTGGGGCTGGGTGAAGGTGTTAAGAGATGATTAGGTGGCTGAGCAGTCTAGTCTGAAAAAAACTCACTAAAAATCCTTTTCTTTGCTACCAAGAGCCCCTCATCTGCAGAAAGCAGCTCGTGTCACGTCCCGATGTGTCCGTAGGAAGCACCAGCCAGCCAGAGGGCTTTCCCCAAGGCCTGGCTGTCTGGCAGGGTTGTCAGTTGCTCAGGAAAAGCCAGGCAGGACTTCTCCTCCCTTCCCAAGCACAGGGTGATGAACCATGGTCTTCCCAGAGCAGTTATTTCAACACAGCTGTTGTTGATTCCCTTTGCTGACAGTGGAGTTGGGTCCCAAACATTTAAAATTCAGCCTGTTGCTTCATTTTGTTGGGCTAGATGTGCTGTAGTGTTTTTATTTATGTTTCTGGTCTGGATGAATGTCCTTGGTATTTATTTCTTAATGCAGATCTTTTAAAAACAGAATAAAAATGAAACTCTCCTGCAAACGGTTTGTCAGGTGAGCATTGTTTGCATAGAGTGAACAGTGGAACATTGTATGAAATTAATTGACTTTACAAGGCATATGCAAAGGCAGGGAAATGATTCCCATAGCAGAATTAATCCATGTCTCCATGGATTCATCCACAAACGTGCCCCTGTTGGCTGTCACCAAACAGAGGCCACAAGATGCTGCAGGAGCACAGATGTCAGGTTGTGCTGAAACCAGTTTTTGGGATCACAGTTATTAGGAGGGCACATGTGTGCACGTGCATGAAAAACAGGAGTGCAGAAGTTTGGCTTCCATGAGTTAAATCTGTCTTTTGAGTATTTAAATAAGCAGAACATAACTGTGATCTAGTTTGTGGTGATGGAAAACAAGCCCAGCTTACCCCACTGAGACACTGGGCTGCAGAACCATCAGCCGCTTGCTCCACAACAGAATTGAGAGCACATCTCTTCACCTGCCAAGGATTTGGGCTGGAAAGGATAAAAGAAAGAGTGCAGGAGATGAGGAAGGAAGAGCAGCTCTGTGGAAAAAAGGACTGGCCAGGTTGTCCTGCGTCAGCAGCCCGACGGGCTGTTCCAAATAATAAACACCAAGGTTTCTGAACAAACTACAAGTATATATTTTATTCTATACTGAAACAAAAAAATGAAAATTACAAAACCACACCAAGTCAGTGACAATTCTCCAAACATTTGAACTGCAAAAATATTTCCAATACAATAAAGCAGAGGAAACAGCATTACATCTGGAAAGATGATGGAAAGTCAGTGGTTTAGCTGTTCCTGTTTCCAGTCATATCCAGCAAGTGTTTTATCCTAACTGGATCTGCTTTATGATAACTGGATCTTTTGGCTTCTTGGTCCCACCTAATGCACAAATTAAGACTCCTGATAGTGCTCTTCAGCTTGTGGAAGAGCAGGATGTGAGCTCTGTTAAACAGCTCAGATTAAACAATGTGCTGACAAGCCCGGTGTGGTAACAGCAGTAAAGGGCTGAGCTCCTTTTCCCAAAGTGGAGCTCCAGCACGCCCTGGTGCCAGCTCCTTTTCCCAAAGTGGAGCTCCAGCACGCCCTGGTGCCAGCAACTGCCACTGACAGAGCTAGGGATGCTCCAGTGCTGGAAACAGAACTCACTGTGAGTCACCTTAGCTCACTAATGCAAGGACAAACGTCTGAGAGATGCTCTCTTCTCTACATTTCAGTGTTTTATGCTGATAAATGACCCCCACCCTTTTGCACGTGACCTCTTCAAACCACTCTCTGGCTGCAACACAAACTTTCCCCCAGCAACAGGCTGAGAGTCTCTAAATGCCAAGAATGTCCCCTTCCAGGCTCCTTGGGAGAAGCAAGATCCCAAGTCCCAGCTGGGCCCCAAACCAGACCTGCAGTGCTACCTGGAGGTGCAGGAGCTTGGGGAGAGCTGTGTCCTCTCATCTGCATTCTCTCCGCAGTGTGTGTCGCTGTTCAGGGGTCCCAGAGCTCCTGCTGAGGAAGTACTGGTGGTTGAGGGCTGCCTTGGCTGAGATGCGCTTGCTGGGATCATACAGGAGCAATTGCTGCCAGGAGAAAAACCCAGCAGAGTTAGGATTTTAAAAATTAAATGATCACTTGCACCCACACATGGCTGGGCCCACTTGCAGGTGTTGGTCCTGGGCTTCAGGGGTCACCCACAACTCAAATTACTGTGGGGATTATGTTAGAAGAGTTCCTTGACTCCCAGTGCCGTGGTTACTAGAGGAACCTGTGAGACTGTCCTGCTTCAGAGCAGGACTGAGCCCTATTCCGTAATTTGATGCTTCTGCAGTGGCAGAGGTGAGCTTTAGGCCCAGATCAGATTTACACTTCCAGGTAAATCAGTCTCAAACATCCCTATTCTTTGCCCAGTTTGAAAAGGTCCTGTCTGTCCCCAGGTCTTATTCTGAGCCCTCACTCACCGTCAGTAAGTCTCTCCCATCTCGATCCAAGTTGGGAACAATGTCCTTCATCTCCTTCTTTGGCCACCGGGGAAAGCTCCCCTTGTAGTCAGGCAGCTGGGTCACGCCAGGCCAGGTCACCTCGGTGGGAGTGCCCAGGGTGCGAAAGATCTGGAAGAGCTGGTCGATCTCAGAGTCCCCTGGAAACAGGGCCTTCCTGGTCATCTGGTGGGGAAGAGAAGGCGGCAGTTCCCACCTTTCCATCAGCTGTGTGCCCTATTTCCTGCTGCAGGCAGCCCTTTGTCCCAGCAGGGGCAAACGACTGCACAGAACAGGGCACTTGCAATGCCAGGCAGTGGTTGGGAAAGTCACAAGTGTCTGAGTGCTTATCCCTCTTTGTCTCCAGCTTCTAACACCCACTCCTGGTCCGCTCCCTCTTGCCTACTCTGCAGCTCAGGGACTTTGGGAATGAGGGATAGTGCTATTACACAGGGATAACCAGAGCTCTTCCAAGGGGAGTACAGGCCCCTAGGAGATCCACTCTGCCATGCTACAACAGTGCTAGTTCTCTGCAGCCCACTGTGGAGACATAGAGTCATCTCCTCCCAGGATCAAAATGCTGCAACAGCAAGACAGAATTTACCCCTTCTGTGAGGAGAGGCACCATGTCACCATGTATCTGGAACTGCAGCCTTCTGCCAGGCCCCTGAGGGTGGCAGATTTCCCTCTGAGATAAGGATCAGCTAACCCTCAGGGTGGACTTTCCATAACAGAGTGGGAACACAGTATCACAGATGTTCTGCATCTCATCCCATCTTCCCACTGCAGCTGCCTCCTCCCTGCCCGTTAAAGACACTATTTAAACCCATCCTACCATTTCTGCAAAGATGCAGCCGATGCTCCAGATATCCACAGGGGTTGAGTAGTACCTGCACCCCAGCAGTATCTCGGGGGCTCGGTACCACAGAGTCACCACCTGGAAAGGAACCAACAAACAATCTCTGGAACAAATAAATATACCCTGTACAGAGAAGGTGGGAACCCAGCTCGCAGCCAGGCTACAGACAGAAGACTTCTTGGGGACGCGAGGTAACTTTTTAGGTGCAGGTTAGGATAAGAGCGTGTTCCTGGCTATGGCTGTGCCTCCGTTGTGGATGAATAACTTGTTGTGATGCTGCTACTGTTCACCCACTGTGGATTGTGTACCCCACTGTGGGAGTCTCAACACTACCTCATGAGTGTATGTGCGCAGGGGGACTCCAAAAGCTCTTGCCAGTCCAAAATCAGCCAACTTGATTGCTCCTGCTTCGTTAATGAGCAAGTTCTGCGGCTTCAAGTCCCTGTGGATGACCCTGTGAGAGTGGCAGAAGCTCACACCTTGCAGCAGCTGGAAAAGGTAGTTCTAAGGAGAGAAGAGATTTCAGATAAGGCCACGATGAAAACACTTTGAATGCTGGATTGTGCGAACCAACAAACTTTGGATTACTTATAGATCTGAATGGGAAAAAAGACCTTGCTACAATGCAACATCAGGCTGGTGGGCTACTACTCAGAGACACACACAACCTGCTCCCACCCTGTATGGGGTCAGAAGGACTCTAATCCAGGCAATGGATCCAAGGTCAGTCCCTTCCACTCATCCATTACTCTCTACAAAGGCAAGGAGCAATAGATCCCTCAGTTTGTTCTGCAGCAGAGATGGGCTGGAGAGCCTGGAAACAGCTGGGAAATAAATGTACTGAGCAATAGTGCCACGAGGGTTTCCCAGCTGAAATGTTTGAGATCTGAGGCTGAGGAAATCTCTTCCAGGTGCAGTCTGCCCAGCAGAAGGCAGCAGGGATACATGCTCTCTGCCCTGCCTGTTGGCACTCCTTCCACACTGTACCTTGACCAAGCTTATAGGGAGAGCTCCGGATTGGCACGAGTCCATGTATTTCTTCAGGTCCTGACTCAGATACTCAAACACTATATAGAGCTTCTTCTGGCTGTGTATGACATCCAGGAGCCTGCAGAAGAAGTGCAGATTCTCCCTTCAGTACCTTCTCCTAGAACTTTATGAATATCCAAACATCCCTCATCCCACAGATGCCTCTGCTCTGTGAGCCCTTTGGAGCAGAGAGAGGCAGAGGTGCAGCTAGTATGGAGCAGCAACAGCTTAGACCAGCGTGTGTTGCTGGAGTGAGGTATTGCTGAGAGTCAGGGAAGTGCAAGTGATTCCTGCATTTTCCTGTTTATTTTTCTCCTGTCTGTGCAGTTGGGAAAGGACAGAAAATTCCTCTTGCTGCTTGTACCCAGAGCTCCTGTAGCAGGAACTCATCGATGAGCTGGTGGGGAGGGTTCATCTTACCTGACTATGTTGGGGTGCTTCAGCTCCTTCAGCAGTGAGATTTCTCGGATCGCAGTGCTGGGGACACCCTCTGACTCCCTGTGGCAGAGACACCCTGTAACCCAGGGGGATCCCACAGCCCATTGGGGTCCTGTGTCCTTTCCCTCTTCCACTGTACCCCATCACCTGCCCAGGGGAGCGTTTGAGTTTGGGATGGAGCAGTGCTGGGGGTGAGGAAGGGGGCAATGGAGTTGTGGGCAAGGAGATGGAAGAAGTGACCCAGACAGTTCAAGTCCCAGGGCAGAGGTTGTTTGGAAGCACCTGAGAGTGCATTTAGAGAGTCAATAACGGTTTAAATGCCCAGGTCTTGATTTTTGGAGGTGGTGGGAGATGAAAGCTCTGTGTCCCTCAGGCAGCCACCTCCCCCATCCTGAGGGGCCACAGTCCCACTACAATTGCCCCCCAGCCCACAGACACCCCTCACTGTGCAGACAGCCCAGGGCTCATCCAGGGGAAGAGCAATGAGCTTTTACCTGCTCAGTCCCACCTTGGAGGGGCTGAGGCTGACCCCACTGGGAGGCTGAACCTCACCAGACCCCCACACCACAGCCCTGAGGGAGAGACCACCTCCCAAAATGGCAGCTGCTTCCCCCTGCCCCGTGCCTTGAGCCCAGGGCCTGGTGTCACTGGGTAAGGCCCTAACCACTCCCACGAGCTGATAGAGACACTTTTTCCCCTCATGTCAGGCTTTTTTGAGCCTCTTGCACCATTTTAGATGCCAGCCTGGCGCCATGGCGGGCCCAGGGCTTTGCCCCGTGGCTTTGCCCCACTCACGCGTCCAAGCGGATCTTCTTGAGGGCCACCAGCTGCCCCGTGCGCTTGTTGCGAGCCTTGTACACCACACCGTAAGTGCCCTCCCCGATCTTCTCCACCTTCTGGAATGACTCCTGGATGGCCTCCATGGGGCTGCCTCTGCTTGGCGATGGCACTGTGGGGTGGCCGGCTGGTGCTGTGCTCTGAGGGGAAAAAACAAGGCGGGAAACAAAAAGGTGAATGTGGGGAAGGGGTTTGGTCTCCCTGGGTGTCCCCTGAGGTGCCGCTGTGTCTGAGTCCCTGCTTGCTGCTCCCTCAGCCTTGAGGGATCCCCTCAGGGACCTGCCTGGGGTGGCTGTGGGTGGACAGGGCTGCCTGGGCACTCTGGGGGTGTCTGAGGGGCTTCTGGCAGACCCAAAGAATCACACCCTGGTTTACCACAGCTGGTTGTTCCACCCGGGTTGTGCAGTGTGCTGGCTAAAGCCAAAAATTGAGGAAAATGGAGGTACAGAGGTGCTTTGGGGCCTGGGGAAAGGCAGCAAGAACTGCACGGGGCCAGGGGAAGCTCTCCCACTCCATTTGTACAGTTTTTGGCATCAAGGGGATAATCAGGCTCATGATTAATGTTCCCTGGGACACGCTGAGGTCAAAGACCCAGCAGGATGTCTTTTTTTATTGTTTTTTTTTTTTCCTTTTTATATTTCCTTTTTTTATGTGTGTCTTGCACAATTGTCCCTTTAACCTCCCCACCGTGGGCTGTGCCACTTGGTCAGCCTTTTGGAAGATGCCCTTGAAGAGGGATTAATCATTGACTTGACAGCTGACGGAAGACATGATTAAAAGAATCTTATGTATTGTGGCACCAGGAAAGGCAAAGCCAAAGGGAATGTTGTCTGGAGGGCTTGGGGGCTTCACATCTCTAGGTGGTCATGGACATGGCAGTTGTGTGAATCCACAGGGAAGACCCCAACTTTTAGGGTTGATTTAGCCCATTGCTGAGCCAGCAGCTCAATTTTTTTTTTTTTTTTTTTTAATTAATCCTGATTTTGCTAATTTGAAAAAAACAAAGCATTAGTTGCTCTGTGGCAGAAGTGGGATCCACATGGCCATGGCAAACTCTTGTGTGGTTTCTCTGGTGGCTTATGAAGGTTGAGTTTGCACTGAAATCTCCGTCTGAAGTCATTGCCAAATTTGCTCTGTTCTTTACTGGTAGGATTTGTGGGTTGATTTTTTATCATAACACTTGTAGAAACCTGGTATTTTGGATGTTCTCAGTCCTGGCATCTTGGATCATCCCAACTCTGGCAAACTTGGCCATTTGGATAAAATTTAAGCACGAGGAGGAAGGTAGAACAGATAGGAGATGAGGTGTAAACATAAATGCATCATGACAGACTCGCTGTTGCCTTACACAAAACCAGGTTATAATCTTGCCTCTTGAAATCATGGTTTTGGATTTGGGCTCAACAGAGTGCTCAGTCACAGCTTTTCTATTTCTGTAACTGGGTGAAGAAAAACATAAGACTAAATTATGATTAAAGATTAATGCAAGTACTGTAATTGCCATCTCAGGCCCTTGAATCAAGCCTGCCTGCAATGGGATCGTGCCAATACCTGTTGTATTTTATCTGCTGCTGTGCACTGGACAGCTTCAGTCCTTATTTTCTGCACATTTCAAGAGAAAAACCATTTTATTCTCACTTGACATTAGTGATTTTCTGTCCCTTTGTCAGTGGTTTAATTCTGCTGGGTGGGCCTGGCACCATGTTCTTAAACCAGAGTGGCTCTGATGTAAACTTCATCTTCTTCTCTTGCAGCTTTTTCAAAACAAACCAATTCCTTACACACCCAGTACTTAGGAGAAGGAGGAAATATGTGTATCACTGAATTTTCTTACATCATCCACAGGGTTTGTGCAGGGTCTAATGCATTTGACTTGGCAAGAAAGAGGGTTTTAATCAATAAGACAGGCTGCCTTCTCTTTTCATCTTTATTTAGGAAAATATCAATAAAAAAAAAATCTCTCAAAAGGGATTTAAGATCTCTTAATTGTGTCAAGGAAGAAAGTCAAGTGATGGTTGTCAGAGCACTTCAAATATTTATCTTAGAGGTAAAATCAATCCTCCCCTCGGACACCAGCTACTGAAAGCCTGAAGAGGCAGCTGCTACTGAAAATAGGGACTCTTTGTTCTTCTTGTTTCTTTGTTGGTCAATCCAGGTAAGTGAGTGTTTTTCCAGGAATGTTCCTGTGTGGCAACTGAGTCAGGGCACCCTTTCCTCTTTCCTCCAATCTGCCCACAATGAGCTGCTTAACTCCTGATTCGGAGACTTCTTTTCCCGACTTCTCCAGGCCCTGTATTACAAAAGGACCAGTATAACCCAAGTGTTCCCTTTCCTTAATCACCCTTTCAAAAAACAAACAACAAACCTCCCCTGAGCTATTTTCAGTGATGACACATGGCATGAATGGATAACCCAGTCACAGACTGACTCACAGCCTTCAAGTGCTTCCCTGCTCAGTGACTTTGCTGTTTGCCACAGCAAAACCCATGTAGCAAACCCACATCCTAATTTACTTTTAACATATTTGTTGCAAATGGTAGTGCAAGGACCAGCATGTCTGGTCTCGGAGCTGTCAGGATGTGCTGCTTTCCCTCTGCTTCTGCCTCTCCTTGAAGTATTTCCTCTGCTCCTGTATGGCTTGTTCCAGCAAGGGCACGTTCATCCCTTCCACGCAGGTCAGTATTCGTGCTTTTACCACGGGACTGGAAGTTTCTGTAGAAAGAAAAACAGACAAAGCAGCTTGGAGACAGAGAGTTCCCTGAGGCAGCATATGGCTCCAGCTAGACAAGTAACCACAGCCTAAGTGCCAGGAGACTGGATTGGCCACTGGCCACTGAAGGGAGCAGCAGGCCTGGGAGCAGGTTAACTCAGTGACATGCTTCCCCTCTGCCCTGATGGCTACAAAATGCAGGTGACTGACACTGCAGTCTCCTTGCACTGGGGAACGGTGCCAGTGCCTGCCATGCAGCATCTGTCTACTTCATGGCTGGGAGTTTGGTTTTTCCTGTCTAGAAAGCAGCAGGGACAGGTCTAATCTCATTTCTGAATGCTCCTGTGCAGACAACAGGACAGAACAAAGCTGGGCTTAGAAGAGGCTCAAAGCTGACTATAACCAACAGTTCATTGGTAGCATTCAAATGGTAACATGGAGCTGCACAGAGGGACCAAATCTTGGTGACACAGCCACCATCTCAGCCTGCTCCCCTTCCATCCCTGCAAAAGGGGCCCAACTCGCTCCCAGCCTGTGATGACCAAAATAACATCTTTCTAGAGGAATTTCGTGGCAGTGGTGTAGCAGGTCGCTCTCTAGAGGCCACGTGCAGTGTGGCTTTCCACACTCTGAGGATTTCAGTGGCACAAACGTGAATGCTTGTTACCAGGTGTGGCCAAGACAACAAAGGATTTGCTTCACCGTCTCAGCCCAGCTCAACTCCCCAAGCAAAGCAGCTGGAGCACAGGGCACCCCAGGAAAGGACAACAGGGTGCACTGCATGACAGAGCCTGCCTGAATTCCTCACATGTCTGAGGGCAGGGATGATAATTAGAGCCTTTCAAGGATGGCAAAGACCAACCCAGCGAGCTTGCAATGAGGTATTGCTGCAATCAGCCACATTTGGAACGAAGACGGTCGGTGTGGTGGCTGCCGGTGATGCCAGAAGGCTTTAGCACAGGTCTCACAAGCCCAGCAGTGGTGCTTCTTGTCTCTAACAAACTCTGTGCCAGAGCATCAGATTTTCACCAAGATAAGGGTGGCTCTTCTCATGGTCAACAGGGACAGACAGGCTGCTCCTTGGATCAGCTGGAGGCAGCTGCACGACACGAGCTGCCTTGGCCCACACTGCCCTCAGTGACCCACGAGCAGCAAAAGGCACTGGTTCCTGGAGCATTTACCTTCCCTGTATTCAGCCTCTCCCAGGACGATGTAGAAAGATCCCAGCTGGGCTTGGAACGGCTCCACAAACTTGGTGTCGACACAGACCTGGTACTGAGCTGAGCTGTGCTGAGCGGTGAGAACAGCTTCGGATCGGGCCAGGTCATAGCAGCATAACCTGGGAATGACGGATTTGGGAAGCTCAGTGGTGCAGAAATACAATTACAAACCAAGTGAGGGGAGTGAACCAGTGAAGGAAAGGCACATCTATGGCATCCCCTGGCCCACAAGGAGAGCAGGGTATCCTTCTCACCTGCCAAAAGTCCTCAGGGCCTCCCCCTCAGGGACTGAGTTGTTGATCTCCCATGGGAAGTAATAGACACCAGCACTTGGCAGCATCTCACACAACTGCTGGGCCTGCAGGAAAGCAAAACATCTGAGTCCATGTTGTTCCAAGCTATAGGTGACACTGCCCCAAAACCCCTTCTTTGCCCAAGTACCACCATCCAGGGGGCTGCAGGAGCTTCCTAGCTTCCCTGATGAGTTCTGTTTGCAGCTCAGTGTCAAGCCCGGGGCATTCCAGCATAAACGGGCACTGTCTACTCCAACATAACCCAGCATGAACAACAGGCAGCCCACCAGATCCTCCAGGTCTGGCCCAGAATATGGATAGGTTAAGAAAGGTTAAGAAGTGGGAAAAACGATGATTGAGAAATTCAGAGAGTGGGAGGGTCTGAGATGCAGGAGTAGCCTCAGCTGCTGGGGTGATGGGTTACTATGCAGCAAGATTTAAGGAATTATCCTGAACTTGTTCTCTTACTGGCAGTGTCTGATCCTGCAGCTGGAGAACAATTACTTGGACACAAGCCAGCCTGGTTTCATCAGCAGTCTAGTAGGGTTTAGTAGACAGCGATGAGTGAAAAGGATTCATTCTAAAGCATTGCTCACGGGGCTTGCAAAATGCCCCACAGAGGACTCCGTGGGAGGCTGCTGAAACCAGGGCAATCCTGGCTCACCCCGTCTCTGCACATGCCTCACGCTGTCTGGCTGCCCCGTGCAAGGCTGGGCACACACACGGCGGGCGGCAAAATCCCCCAGGCACGGTCTCAACCTGGCCACGGAGGTGCAGACCCACCTCCCTGCACTCCGCAGCTCCCTCCACCCCCGCCTCACCTAAAATTGAACAAGCAGGGCCAATTCTGCACCTCCAGAAGTGCAAAGGTTGTTCTGCACGGTTTGGGTTTTGCTCCCGAATGGCGCTGCGCGGGCGGGTGTGCAAGGTACTCGGTGCACGTTTTTCGGGTATAGAATCGTTTATGTTGCAGAAGCCGTACCCCGGCCGCCACACCCCCTGTGCCCGCCCAATGCGCTATTTAATGCCCGCGCCACCTCCACCGCAGCACGCTGCAGGCACATTTATCGCAGCGCTTTATATGCACATCCAGAGCACTGCCCAACCCCGCGTTTAACGCGCGGCCGAACGCGCCCCGCCAAAGGCATTTAACGAGCCGTTTATTTAATTAACTACCCAGTGGCGATGCAGCAGGCGATGTGCGCGTTCCCCACGCACACCACACCGCATCCCAGCCCCGGCTGCGGCCCGTTTCAGCGCTAAGGCGCCGCTCCAAGCTCGGTCTAACGCGCCGCTCACCGCTCCGGCACCGCATCCCGTGGGA